GATTGGATAGTCTACTATTGCTTGTCTCAATAAAATTCTATTTGATAATAATATTTATAATATTATGATCCCAGTGTATAAACGCATAATATTATGTAGTAATAGAAATTAGCAATTAATATTCTTATAAACTTTTTGAATACTTTTAAACGAAAAATTTCTATAATGAAAATAAGAAATATATAAATATATAAATATATAAATTAATATATTCTCTTCTATAGTTACTTTACTTTAAAGACAAAAAACCGGGCTTTAATAAAATATATGATTTTTAAAATACTAAAAATAATTTATCATTTATAAGAAAAATTATATTTGAAAAAATTTAATTAATGTTAAAATATTATAAATTGCTTACAAAATTTATAGGGATATAAAAAGTAAAAAGTTACTAACTTTTAATTTATAATAACTTTACTTTTTTTATAAAAAACTAATAAAAATATACTAAAGGGGGGTAGTTAGGAAAGTATGATTTATAAAGTTGAAGAAGAGCATTCAGTTCAGGAAAGTTTCTATCTGACTTAACGTTCAAAAGCTAATAATAATAATAATAATAATAATAATAATAATAATAATAATAATAATAATAATAATAATAATAATAATAATAATAATAATAATTTAAAAAATCCGTAGCATTAAATAATCGAAAAAATGTAAAAAGGCAAAAGTGAACTTTGTAATTGGTTTAATACAACTAATAAAAAGAAAAAAATTATTGGCTCTTTTTAACAAATGAGTGTGCGGTTTAAGGCTAAAAATATTTATTCTGAAATATATAAAATGTAAGCTGCTTTTCATATTATTATATATAATATAGTTATTATGGTACTTTATATTTTTTATATATGAACTGTTATATTTCATTACCTTTATTATTGTTATTATTAATATTACTTAAAAAAGTTATTTTAAAAAAGCCATAAAGAACTAAATATGCTAGAAAACCTTTTTATCTTTTTAAAAAATTATAATAAAAAATCGTCTTTTTTAAAATTATAATATTAATTTACTTTAAAAAAAAAAGATCTAATAATAACAAAATTACTATCAAAATTTTTTTTAAAGAACGTAATTTTAATTTTTATATTTACAAAAAAAAGAAAAAATAGTAAAAAACTAAAATATAAATTATTTATATGGTACAGTTATATATTTATAATAGTAATTTCTGTTTCAAATAATAAATAAACTAGTAAAAATGATTTTACTGTATAGATGAAATTATTTCTTAAGGGATTTAGTTAAATTTAAAACTTTTTATGCTAATATATGTTTTTTTTAAGAAAGTAAAAGTTATTGTAATTATTAATAAAAGATATAACTATTTATACAAAGTTAATAAATTATAATAATATAATAAAAAAATTAATAAATAAAAAGAAATAATAGTTTATTAAAAAATATATAACAGAGTATATAGAAAATGTTTAATAAATATTTAAATTATTAATAAATATATTTTAAATACTTGGTTTAAAAATTTATTATCATAAAGTAAACAAAAAAATTAAAATTTTATAAACTTAATAAAATTATAATGTATATAAATATAAGCCTATTAATAAACGCTTAAACTAAGTAAACCTGCGAAATGCGATAGTCAAGTACATGCCGCCGCCTCGTGCATAAACAGAGTAAATGGCAGATGGTGGACGAAAGTTCGGAAACTTTAACGTGTTGAAAAATTAAACTGTACAAGTTATCAAAAACTGATTTTTCCTCAACTTTTTCAAAAACTAAGATTAACCAAGAAACCAAAAGATTCTATACCGTAAATTTATATATAAATATAAATATGATTGGGAGTTTTATACTTGTACTTTAACGTTTAAAGGGATGTGAGAGTAACTGAGAGCGCACACCGCCATAGTAACGGCTTGTTTGGGGATCTAATTAATAAAGTTTAAAGTCTTCAGATTTATGGTGACGCTATGGATATATTCTTAGGCTATTGGAAAAAAAGCTAATGAGTACGCTTGATCTCGGAATCAACGAGAAAATTAATTTTTCCTGAAGCTCTATAGTTTTTAAGATTTATATTATAAAAAATATAATAACAAAAATAAGAATTGCTATTACAGACATTTTAATTTATAATAACTATTACAAGACGCTTTAAGGTTTAGTTAAAAAAAATAGAACCATTTATTAAGAGGAATAACTTAAGAATTACTGTAACGTCTACAGTCACTAAGCCGAATGAAGAGCTAAAGTTTTGAATAGCCTCAACAAGAGCCGGAATAGTTACAGAATCTTTTATACATATAAAACAATTCTTTATAATCTTAATTATTAAAAAAGTAACACAGTGAAGTATTAAAAAAGAGAGGTGGCCTAGACATAAAATAAAAATACCTAAAACAGCACGCCTAAGTTCAAAGCTACATTCTTTAAAAAAATAAGAAATTATTTCTTTTTCTCGATTTTTCATATTTAAATACGGTATAATAACACCAGTTGAAAGCTGATCTGCAACAGTTAAAGTAAAAATTAGAAACAAAAATTTACTAGTAGAAAGAAATGGTTTAAAAACAATATAAAAATTAGTTTTATAGCACTAAGCAAGTAAAATGATCTTTAACAGCGATGGGTGAAAGTAACTCAGATGCAGAAAATATTACTTAAAGACTTGATGACACTGTCTTGCCGAATTTTTTTACGTTATTTTGTTATCCTTCAGCCTCAACTCTAGTCTGACTACGACAAAAAACTCAAACAACTTTATGCGGAGGGAGATAGGGCGCGCCGTCTTATATCCTGCCTACAATTCGTAAGAATTTTGAACCTTTCGTGCTGGCTTTAGTAAGGATAAAAGGGTCATTTTAATGTTCGAGGAGTATCTGGCTAAGCTCTGTTTACTACTGCATCTTTAGTGAATAGATGCGTCTCCACTATTCCTAGCTTAATATGGGTAGTTCTACTTGCAGTCCTAGCTTAACACTGGAATGAGGTGTCTTGTATTAGTGCTTAGTTCTCATAATAGGATGAGACTCTAGTAGGGTTCTTGCTTTGGCACAGCCTAACGCAAAACGATAAAACTTTAGCTTTATGCTTCTATGCTTGAATTAATTTTCTAGTTAGTAAAATACCAAGATCTGGATTCGGGTCCTTAACTAAGTCCTACTAATCAACTCGGTAAATAAATAAATAAGGAGGGTCTCAATCAATCAAGTGCAAGGTTTGTTTTCCTAAAGATTGGCAACCGTATTAACTACAAATGAACCTTAGCTTACTACCTGGCTAATAATCGAATGAATTAGAAATTTACATCTGAAAGTGCTTAGCTTATTGAATATTTGTGATCCTTGGCATGAATGATCGCTCGTTAATTAACAACAAAATACAAAATAGAACTAGGTAACTTGCCAAAAAAAAATGATAAAGAGTAGAATGTGAGAGAACAGAATCTAAATAAGAAGAAAAAATAATCTAATTAATATTATACAATAATGATACTAAATAACTTCTCCTATAGTGGACTTGGAGTAAAGTTCTTCAGAGGTACGCCTTTATGGGTGGTGCCGTCGTATCATTATTTGCTAGGTCCCAGTGCTAAATCAACTAGGTCATTAAGTGTAGGCTTGTTCTTGGTAATTGTAGATGCTGGCCCTAGGCTAAATAACCTTCCGCTTTCTTAGTTGGCGCTCTTGTGTAGTACATTTACATTGCCTGTGGAAGTTAACTGTCCTCCTTGGCGATCAGGCAGATCTTTACGGCCTCGGGTGAGATTAACTACGTCCTACGGTGCCCTCCAGTGCGAGTGGTAAAGACCGAAAGCAAAGGGTATGTACGAGTCCTAGTGTAAAGTAATGACGGGTACGCTCTATCTCATTCCAGGACCATGTGAATGCCTGTGATTCGATCCGTGCTAGTTGAAACTGGGTACTTTCTTCAACTTTAGTGATGGAACTACTAAGGCTAGATAGAACAATGGGATTACGTCATACTAGGACGGCAGAATTATATGAACTAGTGAAATTTAAAGCTAAGTTGTTAAATCCGAATGGTATTCCAGGGAACTACCCAAGACGAACATATAGGCATTACGATGAGGAGGAAGGGTACTAACTCACATTAGTTACACGACTACTAAGTGCTTTTAAAGTCAAACTTTTATACTCGTATACTAGCTCTGTTAAGTACGTCTTAGGTAAAGGACTGGCTTTCTTCATGCCCGTCTCTTGTTCTGTTGATGAGTATTAGGCATTTATTACTAAGCGTGACTGAGTTTTAATCGTCATCGGCTTGTTATCTTAAAAGACTCCTCGGTATAACTACATTTGAAATATTATTTTCGTCACTCCTAAGGCTATGTAAAGATGGTTACCTCGAGCAAGGCTATCTGCCCAAATGATACCAACTCTCGAAAAAAGGTACATAATTAGATTTTATACTTAAATTCCTTAAGATAAAGCACTAGGTGAACTGATTAGATCATCCTAAAGAAAGTAAAATAAAGTATTCGTACAAACTTGACGTAAGCTCTATAAACAAGGGAAGTTGCCCTTCAGTTCCTAGACTCTTGTTAGTTGGTCGTAAGAACCAAAGCAAACCAACCTAATGAAATAAACTGCTGCTAACGCTTCATCGAGAAACAAAGAGAGCTAGAATTGAATAAAGTTAGAGCAATGATTAAGGCTCGTAGTATTTTACTTTATTAGAAGAATGAAAGATTAAGATTATCTTATCGAGTCGACTACTTGGAAGTAAAATTAGCTGTTATTAGTTGCATAAGAAGACTTCGAGTGTCTTGAGTTTTTTAGTGAAAGAAAACCACCTTACAGCTTGAGTTTTTAAGTGAAAAGTTTGATCGTAAGTACTTAGACGCTTACGCCTTACGTACTGGCATCACCTGTAGAGGTTTACCTATTTGAAAGGTAATCAAGCAGATCCATTTGATCTGAGGGTCAGGGCAGTTTGCTAAGTTAAGGCGTGCGTTCCACTTGCTAGTCAACAAGCGGTCTTTTTTAAAATGGGTGGTCCCACTCGATTATAGCCTATAAAGTATACTAAATTTAAAGTATCTATTAGTTGCGGCTATTTAACAGCTAAGTCCTTAAAGATTGATTTCCTTACTGGGCACTGGTACTATGGAAAGTAAATTATCTGAAGTAAATTGTCAAGAATTACTCACCGAAGCAAGAGACAAGGTTTTGTCTCCATTAAAATACTTTAAATTCAATATCTTTTCAGTATCTCTTTCTAAAAGATAAAGATTAGTAATCTTAGTTGCCGCGGTATAGTTGGACTCGATCGTTGGGAAAGAAAAATCGTGCAACCTCTAATTTTTAACATAACGTAATATATAATAGCTCTAATATATATTATTATAATTTTAATATTAATTAATAATAGTATTAATTGCATCTTTTAGAATTTTTTTGAATATCTTAATATTACAACTATTATAAAAAGTTAAACAAGTAGCAGTCACTTAAATTTGTTATTCAACTTAGAAATTCATCCCTTACTGTAAACTACATCAGTTTTATTACAATTTTTTATTGTTTTAATTCATTTTTTTTACATTATCAGTATTAATAATATTTTAATTTCAACGTTAGTAAAAAGATAAAAGTAGAATATTCAAAACTAATGTAGATTATACTGCAACACTAAGCCAAGCGGGACCACTGATTGCCTGAATCCCAGTCACAATTACAGTCATTGCGCTGGACTAATCATAAAATATTCAGAAGTTTATTATTTGTTAATGAATTTATTTATTTTATAAATTATTTTCTTAAAAAGTCTTTAAAAATTTCGTTCTTTATTAAATATGGCTTTTCATTATTAATATTTGCATTTATAATTTTTAACAACTCTTTTTTAGAAGCGTTAGTAATAAATATAAAAATTAGTTTAAAAAATTTTAAAATTTAAGTTATCTTTTTTTATGACTCTAAATATTTTCTTTTTATTTAATAATTTTTTTGAATTTTTTATAACGTCTTTCCTTTGGAAAACTTTAGTCGCAAGAATTTGAGAGTTTGTTTTCATTGACTCATAATGTTGCGCACTTAATTATTCTTACGCTTGGGATCCTCAAAGTTAAAGTGGAATGCAAAAAGCCAGCAGCTTTACTGTGTGCCGATTCAGCGGGTTAGTTTTATCGTAGACTTTTTATTAATAATAGTCTATTCCATAAATTTTTTTTTTTTAAAAAAGATTTTATTAAAGCGAATTGGTTCTTAATTTAATTAGAAACCTGAATTAAGGCGTAATTAAATAGTACAATTCTTAAAATTTGAAGAAAATTTATATACAATAGGAAGAGTTGCACAGATTTATTATATAAATTTAAGTTATTTTAAATATTATATACAGTTTTTTAAAAAATTTATTATAATTAGTTAAATTTAAATCTTTTAGAAATAGATAAACTTTTTCACACTCATCATAAAGTGCTTTATACGATTTAGATTTGATTTTACGCAAATCCTTAATAAAGTTATAATTAATTTATTATAATAAAAATATGAAAATGATAAATAAATTTAATAAGTTTTTATACAAATCTATCATAAACTTATATTAATTCTTTTTATAATATAAGAAATTATATTTTTATTGTAATTATAAGTAACAATAACGATATTATAAAACTTTAAATTATTTTTTCTGTTTTCATAATTTATTTTTAAGTTATGTACTTTAGTGAAACATTATGTTTATAACTGTAACTTTGCTTTAATTTTTATATTTTATTAAAATAACTAAATTTTATGCGAAATTATTATTTTGTTATCATTATGTTGATAGGCGTCAAGATCACTCGAACGTGCCTTAACTTTCCAGAGGGATATGCCCACTTTTTAAAATTTGACAGTTTAATTTTTGTTTATAATTTTGTTTATTTTTTTTTAATTCTTAATTTTGTTTTAAGTTACATTTAAATTTTAATTTTCTCTTCACTTTTATTTAAAGTTTTTAATAAAATATAATAAATAGAAAATTTATAAAAAAAAGTGCTAAATATGATAATATATATCTTATAAACATAATATACTACCTTATAAAGATTTTTATTGTAATTTAAATTGTGTTAATCTTTCTTATAGGAAAGAAAATCATCAATATTTCGCTAGCAAATTCATATTATCATCTAAATGCCGCTGATTTTGTACCCACTCCGGGCTGTTCTGATCAAATCATTATTGAGAATATTCACGGAAGGTTTTTTTTTACTACCGATCTTTATAATAATAAATTTTCTTTTTTACTATTTAAACTTTCCGCAGTTTTATTTTATAATTGAAATGCATTTAATTAAAATAAAGTGAGTTTAAAAGAGTTTGAAGTTTTTTAACTATTAATTTCTATACAATCTGTCCAATGCCTGCTTTTTGCTAGAAACTCAAATTATTTTATTGTAAATAATAATAATAAAAAGCTCAAACGGATTAGTCGAATAGTTGCATTTATACAGTTCTACGACATTATGGTGCACGTGTTCCCCACTATGAAACAGAAGTTTTTTTTAATAAAAATAATCAAGAGCGAATTGCGTACGCACACAATCAGAATAAACGAATCAACAACTGTGCCTGTAAAATTTTTCGTTAACTTTGCGAGATCGAACGAATCAACTGCTCGCATATAACCATATTTTTATAAACATCTATTTGGTCCATGTTATAACAATGAGAATCAAGTTGCGCGCACGTGAAACTTTAATCTAAACCAGTGTATCAACTATTTCCTTTAACAAATCTATATTTTTACTAAAGCGTGAACTCGCCAATCAAAAGCGCAGTTTGTATTTGAAAACTTTTGATCTGGCTTAAATTTTTTGGTGAATTTTCGGTTTTAATTAAGAAAAAAGTTTAATTTTGTGTAAAGTTCGAAAAGTTCTCATTGCTTTTAGCGTAGATCGTTAAACAATTAAAAAAGTTTCATAATCACGAAATTTTTTATTATTATTACTAAAGAAAATATAATTAACTTTTTGGCACTTTAGTATTAGTTTGTTTTAAAATATAGATTCTGTGCTCCCTTTATTTATTAATAAAAATCTAGTTGACTTTTCCATTCATGCAGAGGAACACTAGATTTAATTTGGAATAAATCTAATTATAAAATATAACTAACATTTGTCTTTCATGAAAAGGAAGTAATTAAGCAAATTTTCTTGTATTCGTGCCCAGCTTCGACTGCATTTGATATATACACGCAGGCAATTTGTAGGGAAAGTTTGTTTGGAAAAGGTAATAAGAAAAATTTTTTAAACTTTATTTCAACATTGGGATTATAAAACTATTGAAGTTAAAATATTAAGCAAAAAGCACTGTAAATACTTTAAGCTCACTAAAGTACAAAACGTTGTGTTTTACCTATGTTCATAAAAACTTACCTTTTTACACTTTGTCTGGTATACTTTCTTTTTTCAGTAAACATTTAATTCAAAAATTATATAAGAAAGATTTATAATAATGAAAATTTAATAAACTAAAAGAATCGATAAGTTTGGCACAAAAATTAAGCTGGAATTCATCACAAACATTTTAATTGTAATAGTTAAATTGCTTGGTTTCTAGTAAAGTTGGAACTGGTATGCAAGTTAACTCGTTATTAGATTATAATTTCAGTTTTATATTTGGCCTTTTCTCACATACTTTGTGTTAGTAAAAGAAAATGTATATGCAAGTAATTTACTTATTATAAAAAAAAATAGAGTTATAGTCGGGCTAAACGCTTCGGAACGTACTCAAAAACAAGACCTCTTGGTGTCCCTTGTGCTTTATACATGCAATATACAAGAAAGCCAAGTTTTTAAATTTAGGTGTAAACTTTATTGACTGTCAATTATATTCATATATGCATCTAAATTTAATTTCGTATATTTTGATAAAAAAAAATACTTTTTGCTTAGCTTTTACTATAAGGTAGCACTAACTTTATTATTTTTTAAAGGCATACAACAGCTTTTGTATTAAAAAAGATGGATGAGAATTCTTATAAAACCATTGAAGCACTAGCCGAATTCATAGCAAAATCTTGTCTTAAAGAACTAAACATACTAAGAATTATTATAAATTTAAAAAAATTAAAAGCTTTAGTTTTTGCTCAATACTCTGCAGTGCAAATTACTAGAAACCTTTCGGATTATGAGAATTAAATTATTTCTTACAGGGTTATAACAAAATAATTTTAACTTGAAGTATATATAGGATTATTTAATACGCTCTAATTGTGAGGTGAACATAATAAAGGAGCGAATGTTTGAAAAAAAAAATTAATAAAAACTTACAATCTACTCATACACTAAATATAGGTTATTGTTACTAGGTCCTTTTCATTAAGTTAATAGCATAAAAATAACTTTTTACTTTATATATATTTTTAAAAATCGTTTTATTACATAGTATTATTTTTTTAAATTGAGTAAATATAAAAAAAATAGCAGCCTTATAAAAAAAACATCCCGCGTTATGTGGGTAGAAAAGCTGTTTAGATATATAAGATAAAATATAAACTTTCTTCATATAGCATAATTAATTATTTATGCAAGTAGATGTTACCTTAGGACATAGATGCCTTTAACTCATAAAGGGGATAACAGGAAACCCTTGAGGGGGAAGAAAAAATTAAAAATCCTTGATTTGTTAGATTACGTATTAGTATTAGTCAGTTTTCTAAATGGATTTTTAATTTCAAAGCTTTTCACCTTTTTCTTAATTAGCACTTTTATTTATATACGAGAGTTAATGTTAATCTTTCAAGCCTTTAAAGCACTTAGTATCAAAAAGAACCCTATCAATAGCAGATAACATGAAAACTTTATAGGGAAAGAAAGTTAATTAAATTTTTATTAAATAATTTCTAGTTCATGTTTAAGTTTAGTAATATCTTTCTTTGTGGATTTAGTTTTTGAGATTTCCAAGTTTTTCTTTGCTTGGTATTTTTTAATTTTATATGCATGTAAAATTATTTATCATGGATAGCTATTAATACGAAAAACTTAAAGGGAGTGTATACTACATTAAATATTAATTCATCCATTCTATATAATAATTAAGTGGTAATTAAGATTTTTAGGTTCGTTAATTATTAAAAGTTTTAAGTTCAACTTTTCTTCATTTTTGCAAGTAATCACTTCCATTAAAGCTTTAATATCCCATTTTCATTTAAAAATTATATATATAACCGATATCAAGTTTGAAGCGAAAAGAAAGAAATTCTTATCGTCTACAACCGTTGTCTAATATTATTATTCGTTAAATATAAATTTTATAGCTACGTTCTTAGGTATTTTTAGGTTTATGTAATATATTTGCGAGGAAGAAGACACAACTTTTATTTATGCTAGTTATTTTCGCGATAAAACAGAAAAAAGTTGCTATGCAAGAGAGGGGTAGGTCAGCTGAAATTCATTTTAATTTTTTCAATATTATATTTCTAACTCAGATAATACTCCTTTCATACAAAGAAATACTGTTCTCTTAATTTTTAAACAACTATTGAATAAAAATATGGACAATATCAAGTTTGTTGATAGTTAAAATTATTACGAAATGAAAGAGGTATGAAGTTGAAATCAAGCTAAATATGTTAACCTTTTTTAAAAAAATGGGGGGCAAAATATAAGCTACTACCTTATTACCGTTTACTTTTAAAACTAAAATCTTGTAGTGCAGCCAACGTTTCCTAAGATTTTGAATTGTATAAAATATTTCTTTCAATTTCGTACTTTTAAATTAGCGTAAGTTTTACTAAAAAAAGAGGGCGGCCCTAATATCACAATTTTAAGGTAACAAAACTATACAAGCCCTACCAAAGTTCCTTTTTTAAAAAATTTGAATAACAAAAAAATAATTACATTTACAGTATACGCATAATTTGTAAAGACAAATTCCCGAAAATATATATATAATAAAAAGTTTACATTTGACGTTCATTATCAACTTTAGCCATTTATTATATACCTTCATAACTTAAACTTTAGATTTTTTAGAAACTAAAAAAAAAAGAATTATAATAAATAATATAGAATTAAATTTAAAGTCTACCTAAAAATTAAAATCCTCTTAAAGTGTAAATTTACAGTGATTATATAATAAGCAGTTTTCATAATATAAAAAACTTAAAATACTATATAAAAACTGTACAGTTATACAGTTATATATTCTACAAAGCTTGAAACAGAAATCTTATTTCTTTAAAAATTTTAACTTCTTAAAAGCTAAATAAAATTAAACGTGCAATTTCGACAATTAAACAGAATTAAATTAAAAATTTATAATAAAAAAAGTAAAATCTTAATTTTGTACTCAAGAAAAATAATTTATATTTCTATTTATTAATTATTTTTTTTAATTTTTTAATTTTTTAATTTTTTCTTAAAATTTTTTTATTCAATTTATTTATTAATTTTTATAATTTTTTAATAATGAAACTAATTTGATAAATTTATTCTAATAAGTTTTATTGATGTATATTTAGAAGTTAAATATTATAAAGTTATTCTTAACTTATAAAATTTCACAAGCTAGTAATAAGTAAAAAGTATCATAATATAAAAAAAAACTAAATTTGAAAAACTAAAAAAAAAAACTAAAAAAAACATCAGAGCAGTTAAATTCCTATAAAACTTTTAATTTCTTTAAGCTAATAAAAAGTTAAAATTACTATAATAATAAATAAAAAAACTAAATTTTTATGAAGGAATTAATAAATTTAGTAAAATCTCAGAATTGTACCCAACATAAATTTATAAGATGCGAATGGAAAAAAAGAAATTTAAGTTCGAAATGCGGTTAACTAAACAAATCGAAAAAAATAGATTCACTAGTTTTTCTTTAATTATAATTCGTGCGATTTTATCGGCGAGGCTTCGTTTTCACGCTGACTTTCAAATATTTGTTGCCAATCTTATAGCCGTTCATCATTTGAATCGCAGTATACGCTTCTTGAGGACAAAAAAACTTCACAAAGCCGTAACCTAAAAAAAAATAAAAAAAAAGTTTATAAAAAAAATTCACTTAAGAAAATATAATTTCCATTAAATTTTCCAATCAAACTTGTTTAGCAAAAAAAAGGAAAAGAAAAAAAGTTTGTTTATATTAAACCCTTTTAAAAAAAATATATTATGATATAGCGCTAAAAGAGAAACATAAATTAATTTAAGAGGAAGATATTTAACTTCTATATAAGTATCTTGTCAGTGATTTAAAAAAAAAATTAAAACCTTTGCTCATCCCATTAGCATCAGTAGTAACCTTCACACTCTCCAAAGTCCCAAAAGGTGAAAACAATTGATAAAGAGCTTCAAGATTATTTTAATTAAGTTATAAATAAAATACTAAAAAAAATTAAAACAAAATATTAATTGAAATTTCTTTAAAAAAATTAAATAAAAATAAATTAAAAATTTAAGCAAAATTATTTATAAAAAATTCTATGAAACGATTAAATGCGAAATGCACAATTATCAGTTTTTTTTTCTTGTTACAATAAAAGTTTAAAATTTATATACTTTTATTTAAATAATAATAATTTACTTTGCTATACTTTTAATAATAAAATTCTATGTTCAAATAAATTTATTAAAAAAAATTACATACGCCTATTACGTTTACTAAAGATTTTTAAAATATATTTTTCCTTATTTATAGTTTTTTTTTAAAAATTTTTTAAAGTTGTTGTATTTCATATAATTAACTTTTATTATACTTTACAATAATTAAAACGCGCTATAAAAGCACATGCGCTTAAAATAAAAACAGACATAAAAAATAATTTTTTAAAAAAATCACTTGCAATTTGACCTTTTAAATTAAACACAATCAATTAAATAATTGAAAATTAATACATCTTTTATAAAAAAATTCAAACGAAATTAAATTGTAGAATCAATTAATGAATTATAAAAAAATTGTCTTACTAATCAATTAAGTAACAACAAACGCAGATTAATTTTTAGTAATTTAAATTTAAATTTCTTTGATAAAAATGAGACCGGCATCATTAACTTCCATGGGAAGATGAAAAATAAAAAGATTGCTGGGATCTGGCTCTTGAGATTGAGAGGAGTACGGAGTATATCGATTCTTACAAAAATATTGCGAAATTGAAAAAAAAAAAAATAATATTTATAAAATCAAATACAGTATACGAGCCGGCCGCCGCAGAAAGAGCAGCACCATAATTTGAATAAGCATTCAGTTGCATGCACTAAAAAAAATTATAAAATAAAAAAACCTAAAAAATTAAGTAAATAATAATCAGTAATAATAAATAAAAAAATAATATTAAAAAAAGGATAAAAAGGATAAAATTGAGGTTTATACTAAAAATTCAAAAAAAAATAAAATATAAAATAATAATTAAAACTTAAAATTATATAATTACTATAATGGAAGCATTAGACCAATTAATATAAAACAATTTAAATTAAAAATTAGAAAAAAATACAAAAACCTGTTGTTGGTATTGAGCATGGGCATACGAGTACTGAGCGGCGGGGCTAACGGGAGTGGCAGGAGAGGGCGTCGCCAAGCCGCCGTAATTGGGAATCACGGGAGCTGTAGGAAGCAGCCCCGTCCGTCGAAGACGTGCCTGCTTCTGCTCTTCCGTCTCTGCAAAGCGCACTACGAGGCCCTGCATAGATCCTAAAAAAAAAAAATTGATTTCATCCAAAAAAAATTAAAATTATTTTTTTAAACCTAATCTAAAAATATTATTATAAATTATTTAATCCTGATAAAATGATAAAAAAAGTATTGAAAATTAAAATCAACAAGGAAACAATATATTAAAACTAGATTAATCTAAAAAAATTAAAAAAAAATAATATATTTAACACAACGAATCTAAGAATAAATTGTTAAATGGATTAAATCCATAAATATTAAGAAAAATAATATGATAACCAAATCAACCTAAAAAATATTTTAAAATTGATGCACATAACTAATTAATATAACTAAAATAAATTAACCTAAAAAAGTATATAAATTAACATAACCATAATAAAAAACTAAATTGATCTGAAATAATTATAGTACCAAAAAAATTAAAAAACATTAATATTTAAAACCAAAGAAACCTAAAAAAAAATTGTAATTAATATGATTAAAATCTAATTAACCTAAAAAATATATAAATTAATTAATTCCAGATAAATAAAACAAGAAAAATACACGAAAAATAAAGAAAGTAAGTAATTAAAACTAAATTAACCTATATATAAAGTACATCCAAAATAATTAAAACAATAAAAAATCCAAAAAATAATAATTAATATTAAAGCCAAGTTAACCTAAAATATATATAAATAAATTAAATCCAAAATAATTATACGATTATAAATCCAAAAATAAATATAAAGTTAATAATAAAACTAATAATTAAAGCCAAGCACAACCAGGTGGAGTGAAACCATTAAGAGCAGCAATGGCGGCAGACGCCTCTGCTTCCGTACTATATCTACTCGCAAAAAAAATATAAATTAAAAATCTAAAAAGAAAAAATCAAAACCGGCTAATAAAAAAAATTGCTCAAGTAGCTTTCCAGAACAAAAATCAGAAAAGACGTATATTTTCTGACAAAAGTTCAGGAAAAATAACTCTTTTGTATAAAGAGCCGTAAAAGTATACGTATATACATAAGTATATATGTATATGCAAGTATATAGCATACGCTCAAGAAATCTACATTAAAAAAGGCTTAGAATTTATTTCATTTGATAACCTTTTCTATTATTACATACTATAGACTTAACATAATATAAAACCATCGTTTAATTAATTAACATAAAAATAAAACGTTAGTAAAATAATATTAGTAAAAAAAAAATTAAAAAAAATGAATATAAATTATATTAAGCAATGATTTATATGTAGTTATAGCACCTAACAAATGCTATCCCACGAGAAGTTCCAGTATTTATATCTCTTAAAACAATGCTTTGTTGGATGTTACCATAATTTCCAAAAAGCTTAATAAAATTTCTTTATAAATGTATAAAAAAATAAAATTTATAATACCTGTCTAACGTTGTTCTCATCCCAGTTAAGAGGCATTTGCTTGATATAAACATTATCACTAACTTGTCCAATTTCCTTAACCTTGTCAGCAACCTTAACGACTAACGGTATTGTCCCTTGTAGAAAACAAAAAAATTAATAAAATCCGTTAAACTTTGAAACCTTGAAGCAAAAACCGAGTGTATGGCCATTCAAAGTGGCAATAGCAGCATCAGCTTCTGATTTTTTCTCAAAACGTACAAAGCTATTGAGTAATTACCCTAAAAATTAAAAACAAAAAACGAAATAAATAAAACCCGAAACCAAGACTAATGCCAGTGGCGAAATCCCTCATTATTCGATGTTCTAAGACTTTACCATATGGCGTAAAAGTAGCTAAAAGTAAATCACTTGTCATTTCAAGAGGTAAATTTCTAACGTAAAGATTCGTTCCATCTTGCTCGGAATATGAGCTCGGGTGCTGTAAACCTGCCTGATAAGTCATTTTTAACTAAAAGGAAAACTTCAGAAACAGTATGAAATTTATTTATTTTGCTTTAAGTAAAAAAGTAAATTAGAATCCAGCGCTGAATCCCTTTGCATACACGGCAAGGTTAAAGCGAAAGCCCCGTGAAGCAAACTAAAAACAAAAACCCAAACTGGTCCTCGCACACGACCTGCTTATTAAAAAATGGAAAATTGCAGTTTCTATAATGTTATTATAATCTACCAAATTAATTTTTAATTTGACCACCATGGCATTTTATAATTATTAGTTAAAAGGCACCCGATTTTCGTTTAATATTACTAAAGAAGTTAGTAAGCTACACTGTCTAAAACAAATGACTTATTAGAACATTTTAACGATTGCTTCTTAGAAATAAAGTAAACCTAAAATTGAAGATATAAATTCTTCTCGCTCCTTTTGAGATTAGATAATATATTTGTGAGCCATGAATCGAACTGATGCCTTGTTAGTGCTTGACCTACGGCTATAAGTTTTTAAAGTTGTCTGCAAAAGTACCGCAGGCGGTAAAAGTATATTGATTTAAACAGCATCAGTCCTTTATAATAAAAATAGAAATAATAAAACATTATTTAAATAAAATTGAAAATGTTGCTTTTATAAAAAGTCGTGAAAACCGCGGAACACTCAGCTCAAAGAGATAAAGCGCAACCGTAACGCGCAAATACTCGACATATTTTAGTTGTTTTAAATAAGGTTTTATACAATTATTCTCTCGCTGGTATAAACCTAAAATCTATAACTTTAAGGAAAGCTCCCGTTATAAAAGGGTTTATGAAAAAGGGACACGAAGTACAATCGTTTGCCTACGCTATTCTATTAACCCTAATAATTGGATGTTGTAACAAGCACCTAATTTAATTAATGGCTAATAAAAAAAATTTCTAATTAACTATTCACACAGTTTTGAGGAAATCTAACAGTATATCTATATTACTGTTATACATCAGAATAAACATAATATTTCCGCAATTTTTTATTCTTGTAGATGAAGTTGTTTCTTTTTGATATAAAACAGGTTGACAACTAACTGTTGGGACAAGCTTGTATAAGAATCAGTTTTTAAACAGTTTTCTTTTTTTTTTTTTTTTGTAACAAATGGCCTCAACTGTTACCCTAAACAATTTGAAATTTTATGGTACTATGTGCCAGTTTTAGTCATAAAAATGGTCCGAGGCGCAGCAACAGGCAAGGATGTGCATGAAATGAATTGTCAAACACTGTCACCGAGGCAGTACCGTCCGTGAGATTGCTGATACTTTCCCTCAAATTGCAAAATCAACTGTTTTTAATGTTTAAAAACGCTATTGAAAAAACGATGTTATTGTTAAAGGTAAAAGTAATGGCCTTCCTAGGCTAGTTTCATTTATGAAAACAACGATCTCTTAGGTAAAAGGGGCGACGAAAAATATTAAGATATGTTAAGGCACAGTGGAAGGAAAGTCAAAATTTAAACTATCTCGTTTATGTTGTGGACAAATGCTACACAAAAGTAAACTAAAATATTATAAAGGATGACATATAAATTGTATACATTTCAATCTAAAAGTATTTTTTTTATAGAAAGGCTAAAGAAAAATCACTTCATACCAAAAAACAAAAGAAATATAGGTTGAAATAAGCAAATAAACTATTTTGGACTGTAGACGCTGGGCAAAAATTATTTTTTGGAAGATTTTCTGTAATGAGACATCAGGTCAAAAAATGAAGCTTTTCATGTAGACCGCATTAAACGTACAGGCAAGGCAACTTGAAAATGGTTGTCTCAGAGAGGATTACAGTTTTGTCATGACCTTTAGTAACCCGGGCCTTAATAATTATCAAAACACTTGCATATAATGAGGCAGCAATTACGAAAAAACCCTTGGAGAACAATTCCAGCTTTAAAACTAAAACTGGCAGACATACACTTTTGAGAAAAATTATTTCAATGTTTTACATTTTAGAATAACTTTTCAATAACGTAATGGATTACTTTAAAATTTATACACAGTAAACTCCTATGTTCTAGCTACATTTTGTTAATACCTGATCTTAACTTGGTTTAATATTCGAAAAGATATGAGCTTGTAAATTTAACAAATTGTAGAAACAATTTTGCACGTAGGAAAAATTAAATTTAATAAACGAGCTTTAATAATTAGTATAGCTCCCTTTTGCCAAAATCACTGCTTTTATCCTCTTTGGTGTCCTGGCAATCAGATTGTACCGTTGGTCCGGGGTTACATAATTCCCTTCTGATTGTACACGTGTCCAAAGCTCGTCCAAGTTAGGAGTCGATTCGTATGATCCCAATTTCTCTTCAAGATACCCCATTCTTACTCAACGGGATTGAGTTTGCGGAGACCAGTCTAGCACTTGGAACGACTGTAATTGGAACCATGGTCACACCAATAGTGCAGCGTGTGACATAGGGCATTATCCCGCTGAAAAACCATTTCACTAACCAGGGCCATACCAATCGCATGCTCTGGGTAGATCATTCTTAATAATTCTTGATAATGTCCAAAGCGAAACTTAAAGCAACTTATTCTAGCTAAAGAGGTAGTTAGCATGTAGATACTTCACTTTTGCTCAAATATATTCCCCTTTATGGTTTAATTAAGAAGAAGGAAGTTGCTAAAACGTTTTTTGTTAAGAAGAAAAAAAAAGATTTGTTGCCGTAGCTTAGCGGTAATTAACGTTGCACGAGCAAGTTCAAATCGTTAGTAAAAAATTACTGCCCTATTTTTTTTTAAGCGAAAAGATAATCAATTTAGTAAAAAAAGAGTTTATCATAAAAGTATAAATATTAACTTACTGTCGTGAAACACAGGTTAAAAAGTAGCATGGAAAGTATATTTCTGAAAAATGAACAAGATAAAAAAAATTGTTTAATTCTATTACCTTCTTTCGCTTTATTAAAATCCAGTGTTAAAAAAAAATAAGTTACAGTTATGCCATAACACCTTACAATGGTAACGTCTGACTTCACGAATTCAGTTTTGTGTACTAAATTTATGAAGATTAGAGGGATGGAGACCCTTACCTAAACATTTTACTTGCTTAATTAAAATTGTTAAATTTTATTTATATTATTATTTCTCTTATTTTATTATCTACTTTATTAATAATTTTACTCAATACACTCACAAGACACTAATTATTTATACTTATTTTTTAAAGTTGACCGGGCCTTACACACTAGAAGTTATAAAAAATTTACTAACTATTGAACTGTATGGACTATAGATAGAAATTTTACGAACTTATAGATCGGACAGGAAAAGTGAAAGATCCCGTAAGAGAGTTTTATACAGTCGAACCTAGTAAAAATAAATCCCTACCTGCTTTTAGAGTCCGAAAAGTTTTCAATATTGTTTACTTTAACTCAGTTACGCCGCTCTATAGCATGATTTATTAAAAGAACAGAAGTTTTAACAGTCAACAACACAATTAATAATAACACCAACCATAATACTAATAGCATAATAATTTTTAATAGCGACGTTACTAGTGTTAGCAATAGCTTTCACGATAAAAAATCTAGCAATAACGCAGTAATAGCACCGATCAATTAATATCTTTTCAAATATTTTAATAAAATAGTTAATTAAAAGCTTTAAGCTAAAAATATTTTTTATGTCATCGGAATATCCCCTTTACTGACGACCTTAAAAAACTTATCCTAGTTCTAGAAAATATATAGGGGCACAACACTATACCTAACAACTACCTTCAAACAGTAAGATGATAACGCGTGGAATCCTTGGAGATAACAAACCAGAATTATAAAAACAGAGCTAAAAAATATTTCAATCTATTTCTAGCAACTAGATTGGGTGTATATAAAATCTTAAATCGCTTCTATTTATATTATCAATACTATCAAAATTTAAACTAATAAGAAACGTCATATATATTTGGAAGTAACTAAATACCAATTTTTTTAATATAGCAATATAAAAATATTTTTATACTTTTTGTTAAGCTTTGATTATGGTTTGACCGGCAAGTAATGGATATACCGGTAAAGCCTATTTTTTTCTTGTTGTAGTAATGCTAACTTCTGATAGACTCTTCATATTCATTAAAAAACAGTGTAATTCGTAACTAAAGCGGAGAAATTTTTGGTTTTTAACTTAGTTTAGGTAGAGCGCACCGCTTGTTACTTCTGATATTTTAGATATGGCGCCATATCTTTAATATGGCGGTCTCGATATTCTGCACTCTCTACGGCTCCATAACCTGACTATGGTGAAGGGGGGGGGGTGACTAACTTTACAACCCTACCTAAGCTTATTTTATAAGTCACACTTTGGCCGTTCTCTCGGCACACCTTACGCACACCACATTTTTCTTAAAACATCTAATGAAATTTTAATATCGATAAACCAATCTTTCACCATGTAATGACCTTACTGATACTGGCCCAACGGAATCTCCTACTTAATGCTTAAGCATATGCTCGTTAAAACTTTAAACTTCGTAGTAATATTCAATGCAGACCTATATAACCCGCCTCTCTCCAGAAGCTAATCAGTTTATTAGCTAGTTAAATGTAGACTACTGCGATTAGGAGAGATGTTAGGAAGATGTTTTCTCAAGAGACCTAAAATTATTTTGAGTTAAGAGGTGTCATTCTAACTTCTAGTTTAGGTTCCGTGAAGGTAACTTAGGCTTCGCAACATATTTGAGACTTACCGAGTACCATACACCAACCTTCAACGAGAAACTTAGTAGTCGCAATTTTTTTGACATGGGATAAGCTAATGGCAAAGTATGATGTAAATTCTAGTATACGCGGTTAGGGGGATATCGTTTTGCAAGTCTAAAAGCTATCGGTGCAAGAGTGCCATAATGAATGACAATAATTTTCCAACATATACTTTGTTTGTCTCATAAAAATTATATTACTCGGGACCTTCCCTTGAGAACTAAAGTCATAAGGCCTACTTATAAAAAAATTAAAGCAAGAGTACTTCGAGATTCTTTCATTCATTCTTTTTTATTTCTAAATATTATCCCTAATTACTAAACGACACTATCTGCTGTAGCTCAAGAAAGCTCAAACCCAGCTTTACGAAACTTCAATGCCATTTAACTCATATAAAAATATGCTATGCTTCATGGCAAATAACCATCGATGTTACAAAAAGTAAATCGCTCTTGTTTTCAAGAAGAATTATGAAGTCCTTTTAACAACGCAATAAATTTGGTAATATCTTGAGGTTATTCTAGACAAAAGTTCAATCTCAAAACCCAGTAGTAGCTGTCCTATTAAACAAAGCACTCCTTTACAGATCTGCTCACAAGTTTAGACGACTAAAGCTTTAGTGCCCTGGTTATACTATTCGAACTGTAACTTAGGAATTACAAATGCATCCTGGTACGTGCGAAAAGCTAAGTCGAGCCTAGAAGACTACGTTTTACGCTTAACCTGAAAAGATTTTAAACTATTCTCCCAACATACTAATGATTTATTAATTTGTAGGTTAGAGGTCTAAACATTGGACGAAAACATCATTCCTACCTAGCCAGACCAATTAGCCAGCTTTATTAGGCATTAAAAGCACGAGGTTTTATGCCAATATACTACTTATTATGACTCATTCAATGGTACCAACATACAATCCACCCAACATTTGACGCAGCGTGGAGTGTATTGCAGTTCTGTGCTCTGTGAATGAAACGCTAACACACTTTGCGGTCATTTTTACGCAGCAGTTCAACGCTTATTCGAAGTGTAGGCTGAAGGTTTCTCATCCTTCGAAAAGTGTACAAAAACCAATGGTAGTTGGTCACTGATGAGATCTCGCCTGTCGGCGGTAGTGGGTGAGTGAAAATTTTCTTAGTAATGCTGGCTAAAAGTGGATTGGTGTAGGGGTCTTAACTACATAAACACAACTATGTTTTTCAAACACACAGGAGTTATGTGTCCCACCAACTAATACTCTAATACAACTGTTTTTTTTTTTTAAAAAAATTTTTATTATTAAATATTTTAAAGTGCTAAAAAGAGTTCTTCTTACCAGATAATTAGATATAAACTTACAAAATAAAATGAGTTTATATTTAAAAAGTTCAAGTTCGTATCTTACCATTAATAAGTATTGTCGGTATCCCTACAAAAACCCCTATCTTAGCTGTTGCTACTATAATAAACTGTAATTTACTACGGTTTTCATAACTATTATATATTCATAGATATTATTAAATAAAATACCAAAAATAAGCAACAAAATATATGTCGAGTTTTTACACGAAGTAAAAAAAAAAAGTGTAAGGACCTGCCTTGTAAGCCATTAACCCTAGCTTAATAAAAAGTTAATAACCATACCCTATTGTTAAATCGTTTTTACTTAAAAAAAGAAAATCATAGTCTCTTTATACTAAAGGGATTTTATATTAAATTATTTTTTCAGGAATTATGGCTTCAGCTCTTTTTTTTGAAAATTTTTTTTGTCCACAATCGATTTTTTATAAAAAATAGTAAATATAATGGCGAAGACGCCAGAAATTATTGAAATGAGGTAATATTTTTGAATTGACATTGTCGGAATTTTGAAGAAAAATTCCAAGAAACAAACCTTAGCAATTAGCAATAATATCCCTAAAATCCTAATATTATTAATTAGTTAAGTTCTAGGTAGTATTGTAAAAAACTTACTCTACTGCCACAGATATAGAAGCCAAAAACTTTAGCCAAGGGGAAGCGCATAAAGCCAATAGATTAATAACAAATAATGCCAAAAGTGCAGTAGAGCAAATAAGTACCACTGTAGCGTAAACGAGTACACAAAAATAATTAAGTAAGAATACAAGCCTCTGAACCTTTTTTGTATCTATGGCAGTCCTGGTCAAAAGGTCCTACTAAAATAGATGGAAATATATGTACGTAAATTACAACCTAACCATATTATAAAATTGCTTACTCGCTCCCGATAAAAAGTTCATTTGGTCACTTAAATGAAGTTTACAAGTTGCTAAGTCATAATAGTTGTTAACATCATTGCTGGTCCCATATACTCTTAGATTTAAAGAAAAAAGTTCTGTCTAACCTTAAAATAAGTACAAAATAATAAGTAAAATAAATTTCGTGAAACCTTAATTGTGGCAAAGGGGAGAACATAAGCTAGAACGAGTCCAGTTATTAAAAAGATAGATAATAAAATGCTTAATATTAGCAATATGCTAGATTTTTTTTTCATACTTCCTGTATAGTAATATTGACTGGACTTAACGTTAAGCGGCACAAGAATTTATACATGTTGTGTCTACCAGGTATTTTGTAATTTGGCGATAGAATGAATATTTTATATAGGAAAACCGACCCAATTAGGGGTCCCCGAAGGTTCCTCACCAAACTTGTCTTACTCATATATTTATGGAGTTTTTTAAAAAATAACTTTGCAAAAGAATATTAAATTTATGATAATGGTAACTAAAGGAGTATAATTTTTACAATTATTTTTTTAAAAATCGTACACATTCTTGTAAAATCAAATTAATTAAATGAAAACACTGGGTGTTCTTGTGACAAAAGAGAAATAGTCTATTAAACCAAATTTGTACTAAGGCCCTCGAACGAACATACAAATATACTTATTTAGCACATATCTTAAATTTTTCAGTTTTGTGTGCCCCAAAATAGAGTGTTGTAACTTCCTTAATTTTTTTTTTGCACATCCATGGTATTGTGTTTAGGCTTTTGCCTTTATCTATTGTAGCTGTCCTTTAATTTATTAATAGGGCTTCAATAAACTATACACCCACTCTTTCAAATAATTGTCCTATTTCTTAATGAAGTTTACACTAAGTAAACACAAATTTAGGCTTCTGTAGTATTTAAAACTGGCATAAAATTTATTAACAAAATAATCTTTAAGAATAATTTCTTTACAGCTTGCTTTGTATTTAGTAAGTTTAATTACAAATAATTTTATGCTCATAAACAAATTTTAAAAGTAATACAACACTTTTTTGTTGAGCTTAAAAATTATTATTATTTTTTTTTCTTCGTTTAGGGTTTTTAAAATACTTCTGTTTTTTTATTATTGTCTCTGTAGATTATTTAACATTACTTCAGACCTATATATAAAGAGAATATGTAATAATAAGAAGTAAATTTAAATATATTTTTTATATATGTGTGTGCTAGTTATATTTACATTAAAAAAATCTACTCATAATTTTGATTCCTTGAAACCACGTATATTCAATGCAGGAAGCTAATATAGTATCATTGGGTGTGTTAGGGCTTAAGTAACCCCATTAACGGCAAAATGAACGATATAAGTTTTCTGTTTTACCGTTGTCGTATTAAAGAGTCACTTTTACGAAAGGTAAACGCCCTTTAAGCTCGTACAAAAGCTACTAGCAATACTTCTACCTATTTAAACTGACATAACGCTTTTACAGGTGTGACTATATGACTTGTGCTCGAGGTACCTATATATTCGACTCGGTCGTTAACTTGTTAGTAGTATTCTTTTATTTATTTAATCTATAAGGCAAGATAATTTCTGTGTAAGAAAATAGAACCTACATAACCTTATGAACATTATAAAGTGGGAATTCTATAACAAAGAAGGAGCGTTATAAAATGTTTTGTTTATTAATCGCATACTTATATTACGCATACTCTGATAAGCAAAACAAAAAAAAAATTTCTATTCTTTGAGCAATATCATAAAAGTATTAAATAGTTTAAGCTGTAGTGGGTCCTACTATAATGAGTTTCATACATGTTAGTTACCTATTTTAAAATAGAAGAAATGTAGGAGTAGAACTAAGAACTATTAAAATTAAGTCTTGTTATCTTTTTTAATCGGAGGAGGCACAAGGGCGCCTTTTCTTTTTAAAATTGAATAGACTTAACAGTGTTCCATTATGGGATCCCTGTAAATTTTTACCTTATTAAGTAGATATAACAACAATTTTTAGTAGCTTAGCTTCTATGGAAGATATTATATTTAAAGCGGTAGTGTCTGAATTGGGTTAAAAGTATTTTAACTTTAAGCAATGATATAATTTTGAAGCTACTATTTTGTATTATAAAAAAAGAAGATAACAGAAAGGCTGGGCTCGATAAGGTTGGAAATTTACAGAGACTGTCTCGTCCGAGAACGCTTATTAACAAATTCATATAATTTGTGCTGACTGACAAAAAAGGTAAGGGTGTAAGTTAAAAGAGTGTATGGCGTAAAGTTCCCTTGATGCGATTTACTTGTTCATTGACACTATCTTATTTAGTAGCTGGGGTATAATAAATTATTTAGTACGAAAACTGTATGTTATATTACATAAATTTTAAACCCAGCGACGCTATTAAGGCAAGAAGCAGACCACAGCACAACTAAACTGTTAAAAAATTTTTTTAAAACGCGCCACTGACTAGATTATATATATACTATTATAATTTAACCCTTACTAAACTAAATACTCTTACAAACTATAAATGCTCCATTAGTTGCTTAAAATCACTATGCAAAATATATATTTCTGATGTAAGTATGCAGTGAGAGTTGCTCCGACCATTACTTTAAAAACTGGTTTTAACTAGTATTGCACGACTTACGACAGAGCAGATCATTTAATAATTTAAATGGTATGTGCTACATATAATTCTTAGGATTATTTTATCTTTTTTTTTTTTCGTTCTACTTTGGTTAACAAGCTAATTAGTATTGCCAGATTGTTAGTTAGTTCTGTTCTACCAAAGTAGGCCTTTTAAACCTAATACTTGCTAATAATCTTACCTCTCCCTGAATAACTTAGTAAGAGATGATATGTAAACCATAAGAAAGGGACTCATTATTGACGAAAGAACTTATTAGAGCTAGCAAATGAAATTGAAATTAGGCAAACATAAATCCTCTGTAATCATTCAAACAATTTAGACACGTATCGTATGTGTTAATGCTCTGCAAACTCACAAGAGAATTAGTATTATGTCCAGTTCTGTGAAGGAAAATTAGCAAGAGGACCTTATTGGAGTGAACTTAACGCCGAAGGGTAGAGATGGCTAAGTTGAACTATTTAACCATTTTTTTAGAATTTAGATGAGGTAAGTTAACAAGTTAGTTTAAACTTAATAATCATTGAGTCATTTTCTAGTACCTTGATTTTTATTACCTGTTCTCAATGTTTCTTTTTTGAAGCGTTGCCCTGTGCGTTACTTTGACATCTATCTTACGTTTGCGCAGGATATGTTCGGCTTCCCGTACGCGAACTATAACCGCAGCAAGTAAGTCCTGTTGAGAAAACAAAATTAACTCAATTTGGCAACTGCGCATGTTAGATTATTAGTGGTACACCTTTTTGGTTGTACTTCCAACAACTTTGCATTTAAATTTAGCATAAGCTATTGTAGTATCCGCGTATCAGGAACAGGTTCGGATCTCTTTGTTTACTAAAGTTGTCGATTATTGACAATTGTTAACGAAAGTAGCACATTTTCAAGGTGAAACAACCGACTTACAACCGGTCAAAACTAGTTATCGCTAGAAGTAATCTTGGGCTTAATTAAATCGGCCAAAGGTGAAAATAATTCTTATACTTATTAGATGGTAACCTTGATAAACCCATAACTGAAATAATTGACTAGGATAACACTATTCTCGAATCCGAAGTCATTGGTTTAGTTTAAGTAAAATAAAACTAATTAGGCTCACTAACTAAACTTACCAAAAGAATGTTACGAGCAAATGGGAAGGTTTCTTAGATGTTAGTCACAATCCTTGCTAGCTCGACGCAGAACTAATCAGCTATTATAATAATCCGTCTGTTGCAATATAACTATTTATTTGAACAAAGTTTAGCTAAGTAACTGAACTTTATTTTATTCGGTGCTGTAGTTTAACTGGTAGAACATCCTAGTTCGAATGTAGTCAGTTTTATTGTGGAAGCAACGGACTAACAAACTACAGGCCTTCTCATTTTATTATATAACAGTAAAAAGGTTAAAACAAATGCTAACTTTAAGGCGAAGAATACAAAGACAGATTAATATTGATGGAAGTCAGATATCTAACAAGGGATACAAGCAGGGAAGAAACTGAAAACCTTGGCTTAAATTATCAAAAACCTAGCTGAAAAGTGAGAATAATTTTGCTCATTATTTTGGATGTCTACCCTGTTTGCAAGATTTAGTGATTATCACTTCCTTTACTCTTTAACAGTGCTATTAACGCTAACAAACTAAGAGCCAACTTTTACCGGTGTTATTACTTGGAAGTGACAGGGTAAATATAATAGTTCGGTGCTCAGGTCCAAGAGCCTTTTATACAGTAGGCGGAAGTTTGTCTAAATAACCGACTTGAAGGCTGACTGTGTGATACAGAGTGCTAGTACGGAGGCATCAGGTTGAGTGTCTTTTGTAATCTTACAAGGGACCTGAACGCCGTTATAATCTTCAATCCTCACTCAGGAAGGTAACATAACCACGAGCTACTTTAAACTTTGAAGGTATCATAGTCACTAGTCATTCACAGGAAGTTAGCATAATCTCGACTCACTTGGCAGGAAGGTGTCAAATAATTTACATTTGGTTACTAACACTATTTTATACTAAGGAGGGGCATTTTTTTTGCGGATTAAGATCTTTAAAACTACACTCCGTTTAAGAGAATGGTAATCTCTTTACCTTCTCGTTGCTCGCGCATGTACCAGCGTTTTGTATCTTACTTTTGGATTTACAATCTTATCTTACCTTCTTAAATGCTTGTCTTGCGCGATCAACCATTCTATTGTTTTGCTCACAGCAAGTAAATCCTTTGAAATTAAATCACATTGGCCACTGGGTAGGTCAGCCTCGTAATGGGAGGACTTCGTCAAACGCGTGGTTTCGGCTCTGACTGTTAGCCTTTTCTGGTGGCCTTCTTCTTAGAGTATACATTCTTTATTGAAGCGAGGATTACTTTTTGTCCCTAGACCAGTATTGTAAAGCGGTCAATAAAGATTGCCCTATGTAAAAAATGCGTGCAACCTCTGCGTTATCCCTTGAGGTTTCCCGATGGTTTCGATCTAGGTTTGCTGATTGGGTGCCATCCGTGGGCGGAATGTAGGTTGAATGCAGGTTACCTTGGCTTTAGCACCCTCTACTCTTCGGAGGCGTCTTTGGTGAGCTCAATTTCTTGTTTATTTTCAGTAAAATATAAAGCTCGTGTCATGTTTGATGCTTAGAAACACCTTTGTTCAG